TATGTCGCTCCGCGCCCGTTCCGTACGGCGTAGATAGACGAGTCTAATCTACGCCCTAGCGCGATGGTGGCTGGGTCACCGACCGGGAACACGTCTATCCGTCTCTATAGATGTTGTTGGTCGAACACCGTTGGCTTACCATATTGTCTTCTACTGCCTTCGGATCCGAGATGGCTAGATATCTATCAGGTAGTTATTCCCCAAAACCCATGACCTTGGCACTAGCCCCAGCACGTGGTTGCTGAGAGGAAACAAGTGTTTGACTAGAGCTTGCTAGTGCTCTCACACTTCCTGATATAGATAATGTTTACATGTGTGATAGTGCAGGCTAGTGGCAACGTCTCACCGCTAAGGCGACGAGGGAAAGCAGAGCGTAATCGGCTTATAGCTCTCCCTGCCCACATTGTGTTGTGAGATAATCGTCATATCAGGAAAGCTGCATAGGTGGTGATCTTGCTTATCAAAGCCGGATATGTCCTGAAGGAAAAAAATTTTCATTTGGAAAAACTTGATTGATACTACGATCATAACATCCTACATATGCGGAGAGCTCGCAAAGTCATGCAAAGTTATCGAGATGGCAGGCCAGCAGACCTAATGCATGGCATGGCAGTCGATGCCGGCGGCGTTAGATAGAGTTGCCGTGCATATGCAATGCGAGGAGCAGGCAGGCATGTTACAGCGTAGGGCTGACGAATGGGAAGCGCCCAACACGCCAGCAGGCATGTCAGATGGGAATAGTTCGTAGATTAGTCTAGATAGGTAGTACCTACACAAACAGACTGACAGACAGACAGGTAGATACTTGAGCAGGTAGATAAGCAAAAGCGAACTGCGCGCCGAGAAAGAATGCCTGTGCCGGCCAAGCCACGCGCCTACGTACAATTCTTATCTATCTGCCTACGACGTGCCAAGTACACAGATACGCCGAAGACGGAACGCGGACTTGTGCGCGCGCACTAGGTAGACTAGGCAGTTCCATCGTCGCCCGCTAAAAAGTGACCAGTCCCGACGCCTCGGGTCACCATGGGCGCGTGGGCCCTGCGTGGCTGTGCGCCGCGGCGCTGGCAGATGGAAGTCTGGGCTTGCGTAAGGCCGTCTGCTGGGCGGTGAGCATAGCTCCTGTACTGTATGCATTCCTACATACTTAGTATACGAAACACCCATGCCGAGCCAAGTGCGCACGCAAGACTGCCCGCGGTCCGAAGGGCGCAGAAGTGTCGGAGCGGATCGGATGGGACGGTGATCGGCTCGATGCTTACGCAGCCCTCCCTGCCCAACTCTATTGTATCTGACACACTTCCTCCTGTCGCTCGCTTAATGGGGGAAAAACCCTGTGCTGACGGAAAGGGGGAAATAGTGTGCGAAGAAGGGCTCGGAGATGGCCGACGGCGCTAGAATTTTGTTGGGTAGGTATTTTGAGGCACGAGCATCGGCAGACATTGTTAGGGAGTGGGAGGGGGATCTTATGATTTCAGTCACTGATCGGGGATAAATCATGGTACGGAGGATGAGTGTTTAATTTAGAGGGGTTCGGATAGATTTTGTAGAGTGTCAAAGCTATGACTAGTATTACCACTAAAATGCCCGTTGCCTCCTGGAAATGAAAAAAACCACCCTGCCCCAGACGCCGTGTATGCTGAGGGTCCACGATATGCTATGTAATAAGAAATGGAAATGGTGATGGTGATGGTGATGGCTAGTTAAGGGTGATGATGTAGAGACCAAGTGCCGCAAGGAGAAGAAGTAGGTAGAGGAAAAACAATCAAAAACCCGCAACACCGTATACTATGCAGTAGATAACCCCCAGTTCACCAGAAAAGATGCAATAATTAAGATGTAAATCAGAACTCCTTAGCCGGCAGCACGAACCGGACCTTCTTCCTGGGCTTTGCAGCCGGTATATCTATAGGTTGAGTCTTCTTCTCCAAGCCGTCATCGAGATCCTCGATGCTCAGTCCCATCTCGCTTCTTGTTTCCTTCTCGGGTTCCTCATCTATGGACCAGACGTCAGGACTCGGCTCACGCCAAGAGTGTCGCCGCTGTAGCGTGCGATGCGCGGGCCTTCCCCGAATAACATGGCGAGGTGGCGGCGTAAAGCGTTTGGCTAGGCGCCCTTTGGGCGAGCCAACGTGGAATGATGGTGAAAGGAGGGCGTCGGTGGTTTGAGATACGGCATGGCTGGGAGAGCCGTGTCGAGGGTGATCAAAATAGTCGTCGAGACCGAACGGGAGCGACTTCTGAGGGGTGAATCGTATATAGTCCTCTTCATCGTCGTCTTCGTCTTCGTCATCGTTCTCGCGGATGTTACAATCCGCTGCTTTGCTTCTGGCCTTGTACCGCCTGAGACCGTCGAGTGTGGAAGGGCTCACACTCCGAACAATCTGACGGGGGCTATTTGAGTCCTCGATGCCCGCATCGAAGTCGAACTCGAATTCCAGCTCATCATCTCCGGGGGTGGCGGGTGTTAAAAAGTATTTGAGAGGGTTCTCAGGCCTGGCGGGGATGTCGATGTCTTCATCATCCGTAGAAAGGCCGTCCTTGTCCTCATCGAGTGCCGGCGGGATTCGGCTTGGGCTTGAAGGCCACAACCCGCTCGGCGGCCATGATTGCCGGTGCACTGCATTAAGTGCATCTGATGGTAGGAGAGGCATGTTGGTTGATTGCAATAAAGCTTATTAACGTAGAGATCCTTGATAGTGATAGTAGGGTCCTCAGTATCGTTTCAAGCTAGGATAGCTTGAATAATTCACAAGTCGGTAGAGAGCTCAGTCTCCTTATAAATGTAAAGCTTCTCGAGAGTGCCGGGCCCAAGCCGGCTCAAAAGCGAGAAGTGTAGTGAAAGCTTTAGAAGGAAATATGTCGAAGCCTTGAGCCAAAAGTGACAAGTCTTAGTAACATAAAAAGATAAAATGCAGCAGCAAGGCCAGATATATATATATTGCCATAGGCAGAAGGAATATGTCAGAGAAGTGGCTGGTGCCCGGTTAGTCAGTCACCTGTTGGGTTAAGAAGCTGCCTTGTGGGTTACTCGGTAAAGGTGAGGACGGTGGTCATCCCGGTCACTCAGCTGTCAAGGAGGATAGATATCTCAGAAATCCCCACAGACGCGACGGCCGCGCGATGAGCAACGAGCGATGAGGGGCTGACGATCCATCCATCGCTTATTGCCGTGGGCGTGCTCTTGTACGGGTAGCAATCACAGGGCGCAGGGGGACGAAGACTCATACAGAGTACAGCGTACCAGGTATCCTGCACTCAGAGACTGAGACTGAGGGGGACTGAGGGGGACTGAAGGAGCGAGATATCGTCCCAAAGCGGAATGATGCATATGGAAGAGGGTGTGCAGCCCAGAAGGGAAAACCGGGTGAGGATACGAGCGGCCACCGAGTTATGGGCCTCCTGGCAGTCAGAAAGTGACTGTTCCCCCACTTTTGTTTCTCTCGTCGCTTTTGCCAGTCTGGTTGTTCTAGGCATCTGACATGGTTGCACACCCTCTTGCGCTGCGATTTCCTGTAAATCCGTCGTAATGCTGCATCTCTATGCGACGCTGATGAGGCTCGTGAGCCCCCGTATCATTCGCTGCTGTCTTAGTGAGTCGATCGTAATGCACAGTCAAGGATCGGGGATATTGCGCATCGCTGCTGCTGCAGCGCATCCGCAGTGTACCTTGCATAAGTTGGATGCCCGACTACCTATGCTGAGCCATTTGCATATTACCGTGGCGTGATGCGCACAACTGGCTGAATTTCCAATCAAAAGCCCGGCTGCTGCGGCAATGATGGAGGTGTGTATGTAAGTGCAGTAGACTTAATATGGCTACCTAAAGAGGTATCGTAGGCTGTAGGTAGCTGTAATCCTACCTACATGTAGATAGGCATGTTATACTTCCGATGCTGTAGCCTGTAGACATGTATGTAAGTGAACGTACAAGGGTATTCGTAAGATACATGACGAACTATACTACGTATAGTATATCTGCGCCATCTCTTACATGATACCAAAAGAGCTAAGAGCTAGATAGGAGCATGACCCCCCTTTAGTCTAACGTTTTAAACAAGACACTATCAACATAGTCATTCATGATGCTAAGGTAATCGAAATTTCATCAGCCAAAAGGACATGTTGAAGCTGAGATGTCCATTGTCGACATCGAGAATTGCACACCTACCTACATCCGTCCAGGCAGATAGGTAGAAGAGCTCAACCAAGATGAAGTGCCTTGGTTGTGCGGAGGTGGTATTCCGCCCACCCATTCGCACAGCATTCGCAGAATACCACCACCACATTCCCACCACCTTCGGTGTGACTGGGGAAACTACGGCATAATGTAACTGTGAGGGGATCTTGTTTGCCTAGGATAAACACTTGATTCGAGAATTCCGGTGCACGCAGTACATCAGGTGACAGGGCTTATCAAGAGCCTATCGCCCGATTGCAACCCAAGAGGTGAACGACCATGGCTGCTGCGAGCCATGCCCCTCACCGGGAGGATTCGGGAGTTGGACTGGACCTTGCCGGCTTGGTGTGGTTTCATGGTGACTCCCAGGCTTCCCCAGTATTTATTGTACCAGGTCAGTTCGCTGGAGTCTTTTATCCCCCCTTTCGGCCTGTCTCAGAGACACGAATTCCCTCAACAGGCATATTCTGCTCTTTCTACTCCTGCAAGCTCCCGAAACACTGAGCAATTATTACTATAAGTGGACATTATTGACTCCAGTGTTGTATGTAGCATGCGCGAATTGTTTCCTTGCTTTTGCTGCAGAATGCGGAACTCTTTGGAGGGGTGGTCGATGCTACTCGTAGTTTGACTCTTCACCAAGTTTGCGCACACACTAGAGTCTAGACAGACACACACTTCCAGCTGGGAAACGTCGCTGACTCGTTCGCCGCGGGGCTTCGTTGATTAGCGGCACCACAAAACATGCCGCCCGCGAAAAACGCCAAAGCCCATTTTAGCAGGCGGCGAATCCATACAGGAAGCTCGTCTCTTCCTCTTGGGGCTTGTGGTTTAGTGGTATAATACTCCCTTAGCATCTGCTGGGCTTCTTTCTCAGAAGCGCACGAGAAACTGGGAGTGGTCCGGGGTTCGATTCCCCGCGAGTCCAACGCTCGGTGGTTCAATTCCACCTATACCTACGATTTTCTCCGAATTGGTGTAGTGGCTAACATTTGACGCTCTCATAACCGGTGCCGTCAAGCCCGGGGTTCGATTCCCCGATTCGGAGTTGCCCATTATCTTTTGGTGTGGCTGGCTATCCTTGAAACTCGAAGTCCATTCTGTTTCGCCTTCTTTTTTACCCTCTAGCTCAAAGAAAGGTCTTTTTTTTGAATCATGTGCAAGTGAGAGATAAGATAATGAATAGATAGATGCCTTAGGTGCCTAGCGGGCTTGTCTTATCTACTACCTGCCTAGGCAGGTTACAGAATAATTGGAAAAAGGAGGGTAGTAATAATTTTGTTACTCCTCAAGATACCTGTGCAGCCTTTGAGAACGTCGATGATATAGATTAGGTAGTGTGCATTGTTCCTAGGTCGATGCCTAGATAGCTAATCACTTTGGCGAGTTTTAAGGTTAATAACCTGGTCGCTGATCACCACCTGTGGATTTCGAGGCTCGGCTTAGCCCGTGTCAGCTAGGGAGTTTAAGTTTAAGTTTACTGGAAGGTACAATAATAGCCTATGGTAGCCAATTAGGCACTTCACTGTAGGTAGGGCTGGCAGATCGCGATAGTACTATAGATAGGGCGGAACTCACCGAGCAAGCCCGATGAAGAAGCGTCACGTGAGCTGCAACTAGCCACGTGAGATAATTGGCAAGAGGTATGTAGGGCCTGGTAGGTATACATATACGTACCTATCTAATGTAGCCTGTAGATGGAGAACCCAGATCTACGCAGTACTGTATGCTAAAAATACCTTATTAGCATTTAATAATCGAATAATCAAGAGCCATACTCGTACCCATGTAGGTAGATACTTGCTGTAGCATCTCTTGTCCACCATCTCAATACCACTTGGGTTGTCGCGATCGTCGATCCCGCTCCGATCAAGTGCCGCGACTAGGTCATACTGCCATGCTCTTTTGGAGCAATGTTTTCCACAGATTCTGCTATGACGTCGACAAGCCAGGATTGAACAGAGTTTGAACCCTGCACAGGATCTTGCCGCGCTCGGGACGCTACGCCTTGTCTTAGGTATCAAGATCCACATGTCTGGAATCTGAGCATCTGGCCAGAAACCTAGGCATATGGAACTACTCATAAACACTTGTCAGCCGTTCCCGAAGTTCATGATGGGCAAGCCGTCAACGGAGTTAATCAGTTGATCTGCCACTCACCCCAAGACTTGGGACAGCACTGTTTTATCTCGAGACGATCACTAGAAGTTAATGTCTAGCCCTGGCCAGATGACCGTAACAATGTAATCCACATCGATTACATATGTCATTGTCTGATATTCGCTAAGAGACGGACGACAACGTCGCCAAGCCAAAAACCAAGGCTGCTGGCATATGTTGGAACCTGGCTTCAACTGCCGTTGAGCCCCGTTCTCAATCCTGTTATTGCCTTTCAACTGTGCTCGACAGGTTCTCTAGTGCTCAACGCGATGTTGATGTTACCAACATCCGCGATCGGCCAGTTTTGGTGGTTTGATGTGTTTGCTTCATCCCTCCCATCAGGACCGAGACATGACTAGTGAAGGCTGGACCCCGGCCTAAGGGCATGCGTATCGCAGCCTTCTCGCCCCTTTTCTTCCAGTTTCTTAGGGATTTGCAAGGGAAAGGCTCCACTTAGATATTGCACTCATTGGTTTTAGTCATCTAGGGAAACCCAGGGTCAGCGAGATCAGAGACATAGAAACCGGCAATAGTATCTTGGGAATGCTGCAGTAATAGCATCAATCTCTTTTGCCGGTATGTAACATCGTTATTCCAGTATAAAGAAAATCGGAACGGACCATATATTGATGCTCATCTTGCAGACTAGTATGGAATGTATATGCAGATACTCAATCCCTGCTGTACGGGGCCTTCCGCTCCCAGAAAGGAGCTGCAAAGAAGTTCGATTCTTGCATATGGCACACTGTCCGTCCAATATGGTCCGCAATACATGCATCAGACAAGACTATCGACGAAGCCGATCCGGGTTATCTATTATTGAAACTGTCCATTCAGTGGGAAAGACGCAAACAAACTAGGTCTGAATCGGGTTGGAAGTGATTTAGATGGCAAACTATTGCTGGTACGATCGTACAAACAGCGAGAACACTCGCATATCTTAACCATTCACGGAGTCTATTCGGTCCCCGTGTGATCCATTTTCAAGGATAAGGCCTGAAGGGGAGAACATTTGCTATATCATCTTGGCTTCTATCGTTTCAAGGGAGGTTCATTCACAGCCATCTGCCACGATTAAGCGCATGCTTACCAGTGAGGCCGAGGGACCCATATTCTTCCGAGCGAAGAGGGAACAACCACGTCACATGGAAATTCGACGCAGGCTGGCTAGATGGTAATGCCGCGAATTTCAAGATGGGCTTTACTGAAAAGCTACTAGCACAATGCCGTCGTGGCGTGGCTCGGGCTCGGTATCGATACCCCGGGGGGCTGGGACGCAATGACGGTGCGTGAGCGTTCCTTCGGTTGAAAGAGCGGTGAGGCTCTTTGTGGAGGTGATTGGCAACTAGGAAGTTAAGCCACGGCCATCTCCATGCAAATCAGGAACGATAAGGAACCCCACTATAGAGATTGGCTTCACGATTTACCAATTCACAGTTATACCTCTGACGCCGTCTTGAGAAACTCTTACATCGCTCTGGCTACCACTGTCTTGCATTTGGGTCAGGGTCAGGCTGTCATATGGGCGTTCTGTGCGAGCCGTCACGGTTCGTCACGGTTCACCCCCTACTCTACCGTTGAGTTGGGGGCGGTGGAAGGGGGAGGGGTATAGGTAGGCAGTTGATGATGCCTTAAGAGCTGAGAACCGATGGTGGTTAGGCTTGTGTATGACAGCTGTACCATCTATCCCAATGCCAAGCATTTATACGGCATCAACCGACTTCATCTCATTGAATTCTACAATATCGCCCGTGACTTGTTGTCTAAGGCTGTCTAGCACCTGAGCAATCAAGATCTCCCTTACTGGAGTGTATTTATGATGGCGAGGCGTCTCCGGAGAGTGAATGTTGCGAGACAGCGTACGCTCGTGATGACAACGGAGTTGCTTATTATTGACCTCGTGTCGGCATGATATGGGTCTAGGAAACCGTGTACCAGAACATATACAATTCATTTTGAACTTGCATAGGTAGCCATTGCTGGAGATACTAGGCTCGCCTTCATGTACACGGAACTTACGAGTCCTGTTGTTTATATCCATTAACTAAAGCAAACGAGGAGTCATTTTCTTCACGCAACTACCTACATATGTGTGTTACAGGGTGTACAGTAGGATTGCTATGCAGGACTAATACATACTGTACGGTCGAGGTAGCCACACAGCCACACACAACAAGGTCCTATCTAGATACGCAGTAGGTGAGCCAACCAACCTGCACGAACTAGCAAATTGTGAGATTCGCTGGCTACAACCTTGATATGGCAACATCGAGTTTTGGAGTAGCTAGACGCAAAACTACAACTTACGAATTACAGTCGCATCTTCTCTAACGTATGTAATTCGATGGAGTGGGTTTTTAGGAAGCCCACGATGGCTGATAGAGAAAAAGTATACGTAAACGCATACCAATTATCTCGTTCAGCATAAGAATCGCGTTGGGGGCTTGGGGGCGTCAACCAGAAATAGGAAATTGGCCGCCACAAGACGCGCAGGGTAATTTTGGTATTCAATTGTCATTCGTTCACGGTTCGCGATATAAGCAACGGGCGTCCTACACCGTGTCCAATGCTACGGGGGCCGGTTGCTCTAAGTGCTCTAACGTCCGGACAAGTGTTCAGCGACGGGCCAGGGTCCGCAGACCGCCCAGGGGTCGGTCGCTATGCCACGTCCTCTCTTTCTAGGCGTGGATGGCAGCAAAAGCTACAGCACTGGAAGGGGGTGTCGGCGCACGAAAGCCGCGCGTGACTACATTCGCGAAAGCGCATGATGACTCTTTGGTCGAGGGCGGCAGGTGGGTATTGTAAGTAACGTCTGTCTCTGGATTGGCCCCATCCCGTCGAGAGCGTGGACGAGTGTTGGCTAATGCACGCTTCCTTATTACTGTAGCAGGGGCGTGTCATGATGGTTGATGGTGGGACCTGAGCGAGGGACTGCCTACTGACAGGTACTCACAGTAGGTAGTCTATGTACCGTGTGCCTCTACTCAGTATCTAGAACGACATGACCTACCGAGCATAGGGTAGGTATGTAAGTAGGTAGAGGTGTGAATAGGAATGGGGCTGCGTTGGCGTGCATTTTGTTATTTTATTTTATTTTATTTTGCTTGCAACGTAGTGCACAGATCTAACGAGCAAATGATATATCACCATCTGAGACTGGCTGGATGGAGCCAATAAGCCCGGACGGGCATGGCGGCGCCATATACCTTAAGTACCTCCCCCTACCTATGCGTTGTCGAAGACTCATTCTTTTTGAGTTGTCTTGTTCTTTTGAAAATTCTTATGCAGTGGTGCAGAGCTCAAGTGTAAAGCCGCACAAAAATCCCAAACTATAAGAAAGGGCACCTTTTTTTGTCCTCTTTCTCTAACTATCTAGTTTATTATCTTATCTACCTAGTAGTTTGCTGGTGGTTGTGTAAGAGTACCGGCCGAAAGTCCTGCTTATTCAGATTTTGAGAATATTTGAGCAGTATTGGTACCCAAAACCCAACTTGGGCATTAAACGCCACAGACAGATTCACCCGCAGGTTTGTCGAGAAGAGTACACGAAACGTCTCTTCTGGACTTTTGGTTCCCCGAAAGACAGTTTTCACCTCCTTGCAATTTTTAGACCCTCTCCCCGACCAAACATAGCATCTTCACAGACAGTCAGTCCTGTATTAAGTCACATTATCTGGACTACACCACGAATTAGCAGCGCGAACCCATCCCTTGACTTATACCGAAAAGAGCACCCACTTCCCCTACCTACCTACCTACCTACCTATCTACGTACATACATACGCTACATGCCTACACCCATCGCACACTGTAGATTCAGCATTGTACTCGGCGCGCAGCCCAACATTTGCCACCGAACACGCCTCACGATAGCACATTACAACCACA